GTATTTATTTAGTACAGGCTGAGCATCCTCAGTTCAAAAATTTGATATTAGAAATGCTCCAAAATTCAAAATATGATGCCACAAAGGGAAATTTTCCATACCCAAGCTTATGTAACAGTTGTAGTTAAAATGCACAAAAGTATTGTATAAAATTACCTTCAAGCTATATATACAAGGTATACATGAAAAAAGCAAATTTCATGTTTAGAATTTGGTTCTATTCCCAGTATATTTCATTTCTTGTAAGCAGATATTCCAAAATATGAAAAAATCTGAAATCCCCAAATTCTTCTGTTCTCAGGCGTTTTATATAAGGAGTACTCAACCTGTGTATGGAATTACCAAAAATCAGGTTTGAAGTTAGGATCTCATTGAATTTCTGTCTCCTTTACCAATTGTCGTGGAACAAAGAAGACCCAAAGCCTTACTTTTAATAGTCATCTACCAATAAATTTCTTTAAAGCCAATTACTTTAATTTTGTTTCAGCTTTGTTAAGAATATTAGTCAGCTTTTCATTGCTGTGACTAAAACTCCTAATAAGAACAACTTAGACATGGAAAAGTTTATTTTTGGTACAGGGTACCCGAAGTTTAATCCATGATGGTGCAACTCCATTGCTCTGGGCCCAGGCTAGGCAACACATAAGTGGCAAAAGGGCATGGCACAGGGAACTGCTCAGGACACAGTGGTTGGGAAGCAGAAGGAAGGGGCAGAAGGGAAGGTGAACCCTACCAAGGGAAGCCCCTGTGATCCACCTCCACCAGCCACATCCCCTCTTCCTATAGTTACTACACAGTCCATTCAAACTAGGAAGGACAGATGAGATTACAGCTCTCCTTACTATAATCACTTCACCTCTGAACATTCCTGCATTAACAAGAGCTTGACACCTCATATCCAAACCTTAACTCTTAAGTATTAAAGAGATTTTTAACATTGCTTCTAAAATATATTTATTTACTTTTGAGCCAAATCATAATTTTTGTATAAATACTGAGTTGTAAAGATGAGGCATTTTTATAGTTTATTTCATAAGACTGTTGAGTAGTTGTCATTCAGTTTCATTAAAAGAAAACTTAATGTAAGGAAGGTTGTACTTCCCTACATTTTCTACTTATTCCCTTCCTTACAAAAAAATACGTGAACCCTAATGTTAAAAAAAAATTGCTTGTATGTGGAATATATTCAGATTTAGGAAGCAATTTAAACTATATTAGAATATGTATTTATAGCCCATTGGTCTTTTCTCTTTTTTTCTATTTCAACCAAAAATTTAATGCTTTGGATTTGTTGTTTTCTTAAAAAAGTAGAAGTGCATTTGATAGTAGATTTTTGATAGTTAATGAGTGAAAGATAGCCCTCGTTACATTTTATGCTATTTAAACTTTATTCTCTTGGACTATGGCCTATAGTTATTCTTGATAACTCATTTTAGTTATTTATAAATAATTTTCTTGATGATTTTTATTTTTTACTGCTGTTGCTGTTTGAATAAAAGTATAAAGTTTTCTCAAGATAAATTTGAAGTTTAGTACTGAAGAGGTTATATGAATATTTTATTTTTAAAGATCTTTAAATTCAGAGATCTTGGATAGCCAAAAATAAATTTTATAATTTCACTCAAATTATTTTAAAGAAACCAGGAAAAGAAAAAACACAAAAGCAACTTAAACAGATTGTGCTTATGAAGAAAATGTTAAAGAAATAAGTAATTATATAGCTATTATTTTTATTTGTTTATTTTTCCTATTATTGTTAGTGCCATAAAGACTTACTTGTATATTGTCATTCATATTTTTGTCTGGTGAATTTAAGGAGCTGGAGAAGATGTAGGGTGTTTGAGAAAATCCAGTTTAAGCCAAATGAATAAGATTTAATTTAAAAACTGACTACAGATTTTCCTGTAAATATTCTCTTTTTAAAAAAACATGGGAATAAATATGCTTTTTTTAATTCTAAATCATCTAGTGTGTATTTTGCTACAAACATGAGTAGGTCACAGTATATCTGGTTGTTCATATTTGAGAGTTATAAGGTTATGACTCATGGAAAATTGTAATAGTGGCTTGTGGCCACAGTTATTTCCAGTTGAGAGAATGGGAGAAATCCTCTGCATGAATCTTAAATGTCCAGATCTCTTTATCTCCCTTGGCCCCAGTTTTTGGGAGCCTATCTTGATGTACAATGTCATAGACTTAATTATCTGTTGAAAATTTTCTTCTAAGTTTAGAACTATAATATCCCTTTGGACTGGTTTACAAATGGTAACTAAATGAATATCACAAATTTCAGTTGTTTTTCAAAGGTTGTGTTATAGATTTTGTTTTAAAGTTATTTTTTGTAAAGGAAAGCATGATTTTTTTTATTTGAAATTTTCCATGCTAAGGATGATTTAGCTTCTTAGATACTGATACTTAGCTTAGACATGAAAAGTGTAGGTGTAAAGAATAATCCCTACTTCATCATTCATATCATTTGAAAATAGGCTTGGATGCTGAGAAGCTATCAGGTGTGCCTTTATGGGTACTAGAGTAAGAGTCTGAGAGTCTCAAGTTATTGTCTGAATTAATGTGTGATCTACTATAAAGTTAACAAGCTTATGATTAAAGTATTAATTTGTTTTGCATTCAATTGGTTATGAATTTTTAAAGAGTGCTGTTTACTCAATATAGAGCATTTATTAATTACAGAATTAGCAATTAGTCTTTGCTTCTAGACAAACTAGTCTTTGTCCCAGGTAGAAATACCTGGATCAGATCTGTAGCACCAAGAGAGAATATTTGGTAAAATAAAAGTAAAAAATGTGCAAAAGTATTTAGAAACCTCCCTGGCTGTCTTTAGAAACCAATAAGACAAGTACTAAAAATGTGTCAAATTTTATAAGGCTCATAGTATATCAACAAAAACTATGACAGAGGAATAAATGTTTTTGCTTACTTTAGCATTATGGACTTGGAAACAATAGAAAAGCATTTAATTTTGGATAACAATTTTTGGATACTATTGGAAATTCAATAAGGCAAACATTTGCTTTGAACAAAAATAAAATAAATAGGATGTCATCTGACACTATTATGATACATGTTTCATGAGGTGCAATGTAGCAATTTCCTTATCCCAGCAAGAAGTGTGTATTCTATTTATAAGTAAAAATTGGACCTAATTGCTATATGCACATTAAATGATATAATTATTATATAAATTTTGACTTTTAAGTTGACAGTACTGTGATGTATTTTTTAGTTTTTCTTCTTGGGTAAGTATTACTACTCAGGGGGAAATTTTAGATTTCTTAAAAAAATAATTTGATTTAATTCTTTTTGATGTATAGTTTTCCATAACATCACTTCCATATACATGTTTTACTGGAGTCTCAAACTTTCTGAAATGAGGTAGAAGACTTATTACAAGAACATGGAAGCTTTATCAACTTCTCACAAGTGTCTTAATTGATGTGATAAAAATTTAAGAGTTAAAGTGTTCTGTTTAGAACAGTCTAAAAAGAAAGGCAATAATTTTTTTACATTTGTTTTATCTTTGAATATGTAGGCTTCTGAGTCACTCTGGCAAGAACATTAGAAATATTGCTTTAGGCATTTATTACAGCACTTTGATATCGCTTGGTGTAATATATATTAGAAGTGGGTGTTAACACTGATAGTTTCATATGAAACCTATCATTGGGGTAACAAGGAAAAGTAAAATCTGAAAAACAAAAAGTGACTAATAATTTTTATTTCATTTTATTGCCTGTCCTGTGGTGAAGTGAAATAAACAAATAGGGTGCATGAAAAGTCTGAAGGCGAGAAATATATATTAGTAATTGATATGCAAATAGTTTAGTATATGAAAATTTAAATATATTTACAATTTCACATTTAGTTTATTAGTTTATAAGTCTTGGCCTAAATTTTAGAGGGGACAAACGTGGGGCTAAAACTATAAAACCATGTAGCTCAATAGTAGAGCATTTGCCTAGCATGTGCAAAGCCCTTGCCTGGATCCCTTGCACTGCTTTCCCCTAAAAAACAAAACTAAAAACTAAAACCAGAAGCAAACCCTTGTGTGGAGGTTTGTGCCTATAGTCCCTGCTACTGAAAAGGCTGAGACTGAAAGATCTCTTGAGCCTAACCTAGACTGACATAATGAATCCCGAACCCCCTTTAAAAGAAAAAAAAAAAAAAAAGATTTCTTAAAGGCAAATTTACTGATGCTTTTTGTCACATACTTTGTTGTTATTTCTAAGGGTCTTATTGAAGTATCACAAAGTTTAAAAATGGAAAATGAAGAGTTTAAGAAGAGATACGGTGATGCGACATCTAAAGCTCTGCAGCTTGAGGAAGATATTGTGTCAGTGACACATAAAGCAATTGAAAAAGAAACTGAATTGGACAGGTATTTCTGATGATATAAAAAAAATTCAGTGTTTTAATAAAATTTTTGTTTTTACATTCATGTTGTTTTGTCTTAACGCAGTTTAAAGGACAAACTCAGGAAGGTACAACATGAAAGAGAACAACTTGAATGTCAACTGAAGACAGAAAAGGATGAGAAGGAACTTTATAAGGTATTTTATTCTTTTCATTTCTATTGTTCATTGATTTGTAACAAATTACCCCAATAGGCTGAGGGTCATGAAGTTAGAAGCAACATAATTGAATAGTTCTGAAAGTCAGGATGTTACAGATGTTTCCGTTAGGTTGGCTTGTTTGACACCAAGGATCTGCTTCTATGATGTAGAATGAAACCTGTATTTTATTCTACAGAGTGAAATGAAAGAAATAATTTATTTTTTTGTGGTACACTTAACTCATTTATTTTTTTCTGGTACACTTAACTTTTGAGAGGCCCGTCAGTTCTAAGTGACCTCTCCAGAGGTTGCTTGAATGTCCTTAAAAAAGGTAGCCAAGTTCCCTCAGTTGAGTAATCCAAGAAGGGGAGGAAGCAAGGAGGAAGTCACTAACTATCACAATGTGTATTGCTCTTAAAAGTTAGTGTTTAGGGAATTAGCTTGCTGGTATTTTAAATACTTAGCAGGTACTGTATAATAAGTCAAAAAGTTTTAATGATAGATACTTGTTGATTAGAATTTATATAAGCAAGTGTTTTCGTGAAATTTTAAGAACTTGTATACCTTAGGGAGAGTATTAATTCATTTCACGGATAATCATATTTTATGGTTTGGCCTTTAAAATAATCTTCAGAGATTGTCATTTTACAGAATATCCTCACTGCTTATGAATCTTCACTTTATGAAGATTTTTCTTTTTTAGGCATTCCTGTGATGTTAACTATAGTTAGCTTAATTGTCAGTATTGTGGATGTTAATCAAGACTTTAGCTAATAAGCATTTCTGCAAGCAAGTTTTGGATGAGGACTTTTAAGAACATTCTTAATTGTTAGCTTCATATTAAGTCACATTTATGAGCTGATGATTGTGAAAATTAAAGAGCTTTAAAGGTGGTATTGCAAAGGTATAGGCTATTGACTCCTTCAGGGAACCAGGAGTCACATTTGGTCCTATGAACAGGAATTACTCCTTTAAATTCAGAAACATTTTAAGAGTGAAATGCAAGAAATAATTTCTTTCTGGAACACTTAACCAAGATAATCTTGCTTGTGGACAGTATGTGTCTATACTCAGTATAGTTCCAGTTACTGAATTTGATTTGTACATCTGTTATGAGAAAATCAGCATCAAAGTTCATGGAAGAATTAGCATAGTTACATCGATAAGGAAATATGGTTTTAGATAACATGGGAAGTAAATGACATAGGGCTTTAAAAACATGTAAAACATTGAATTGCTTCAAAATGTTGTTTTTGAAAAAAGCCTTTCTAGCTTTCAGAATTTGGTCGTGTCTTCATATTGTATGTCTTCATAGCATTTTCCAAAAAGAATAACAAAATCCATTTACATTAGGAAAAAAATGCTAAAATCATTAAATCAAAGGAAAAGTCTTTGGAGATAATGTAGTTAGACCTTATAATTAATCTCTATGGAAAATAACTTTGGAAAAACCATCTTCTACTTTTAATATGTTTTTATATTCTTAGGTAATCATTTGGCAGAACATGGGTCTCCTGACTCCTACTCCCTCTTTCAGTTATTTTCAAATTAGAGATAAATGATGACATTTTAAATTTTGACTAACTTCAGTTTTGTAACTGAATAGAATATTCTTGACATTTCCAAACATTGTTAAAGGTGCATTTGAAGAATACAGAAATAGAAAATACCAAGCTTGTGTCAGAGGTCCAGACTTTAAAGAATTTAGATGGAAACAAAGAAAGTATGATTACTCATTTCAAAGAAGAGATTGGCAGACTGCAGTTGTGTTTGGCTGAAAAGGAAAATCTGCAAAGGGCTTTCCTGCTTACAACCTCAAATAAAGTAAGTAGTTTTGCAACATGTATTTGAACTTATAAAACATATCTCTATTAAATATATTCAATATTACCATTTTGTTATTTTTAAAATTTTTAATTCTCCCAAACTAATTCTTTTTAACATGTTTAAAAATGCAGAGAAGTTGAAAGAACAAAGCAGTGAATAGCTATGTACCTTAAAATTCTTTGCTCATTTTTATTTTATCTCCCCTATTTAGATACTTTTTTTCTGGACCATTTGCAAGTTAATTGTAGGCATTACTGTTCTTATGAACAAGTACACCATTATTACTCTCAAGATTTCACATTGATATGGTAATATTCATTCTTGGTTATACTTAGTTCATATTTAATTGATCCAAATAGAATCTGAGTAGCCAGAGATTACACATTAGTTTATTATTTTTAATCTGTTTTAATCTGAAACATTGTCTCTACACTTTTTTATGGTTTCTGTAGAATAGCATTCCTATACTATTTTAATCTAGAATAGTGTCCCTATACTTTTTATGTATTTCTCTCTTTTTCTTATCCCCTCCCCTCCACTATTTTGCAATGCTAGGGATTGAACCCAGGGCCTTATGCATACTAGACAAGGGCTCTACTACTGAGCTATACCCCTAGCCCTATATTTTTGAAGAAGTCAGGCTGATTTGAAAGAATGTTACATAATCTTAATTTGTCTATTTCCTCATGACTAGATTTCAAATCAATTATTTTTTTTTTGGCGGAGGGGGGGTCAAGGAAAGACATGATGTTTCATATATCTTACTGCTTTTATATTAAGAGCCATATAAATGTAATTATGTTCTATTCTTGATGTTGCGTTTGGTAATTAATTTAGTTTTGTCTTCCTGACATTATTGAGGTGCTTTCCCTTCTCCTCCTCATCTTTGTGATTATTAAGCAATCATAGCATAATACTTCATGATTATGTAAACATCCTGCCCTCTAATAGCCTTTTACCCAATGGTTTTATTAGTCCTTTGATGAGCCTTACTTACCTCAGCTTTGAGATTGTTACAAGATGATGATTTTAAAGATTCTGTCATTCCTTCTACATTTAGTAGTAGCTACTATATTATGAGATTACTGTTACCCTTTCCCCTTCCTTTATGTTACTATGAACTTATTATTTTACATTATCATTATTTTTTTCAGTTCACAGTTGTCTCTATTTAGCTGGTGAACCTTTTCAAGTGCTTTTGTGTCCTTTCTTTTTTAAATCCCTAGTGGTGCTGTGGACTGAACCCAAGGCCTAATGAATGGTAATCGAGTATGCTATCACTGAGCTATATACCTAACCCATTTTACTTTTATTTGAGACAGGTTCTTGATAAGTTGTCCAGGCTGGCCTTTAACTTCAGATCCTTGTGCCTCAGCCTCCCAAATAGCTGGGATTATTGGCGCATGCTACTGCATGCACCTGGCTATTGTGTCCTTTTAATATGCCTTTATCATGCTTTGTATGCATTTTTTTTGGGGGGGGTACTGGGGGATTGAACTCAGGGGCTTTCAACTACTGAGCCACATCCCCAGCCCTATTTTGTATTTTATTTAGAGACAGGGATTCTTCATTTTCTTTGAGTTGCGTAGTGCCTCACCATTGTTGAGGCTGACTTTGAATTTGCAATTCTCCTGTCTCAGCCTCCTGAGCCTCTGGGATTACAGGTGTGTGCCACCAGGCCTGGCTTTTGTATACCTGTGTTTTCCAGGTTCAGGTTATGCCTCAGACCCATTGTTACCATTTTAGGGGACTATGGCTTTTTTTATTTCCAGTAGATACTTCAAATCATTATTAATATATCTAACCCAAAAATAGTACTTTAGGATTCTTCTTTACTTTCCTCCATTTCATATTTATATATATCTTTTCTCCTAGTGTGAGAACTTTTTGTTTTTGAGACATTATATTTTTCATGTGTTTATATATCATAAGGTTCAGAATTTCTGTGTCATTGCCACTTTGAACAGTAAGTCCACTAAATAAAATTAAAGTTGTTTTTCCAGCTCTTGAGTTTATTTGTCTAGGGATGTTCATAATGCCTTGTTCAAAAGTTGATGTACTTTTTAAAAAAAGTTTTATGTTATAAATTTGTAATACAGTTCAAGCTTTTTTTTTTTTAGTATTTAAGATTTATTTTTCTCTTTTTTGAATATATAAAGTAGTTGCATTATTGGAAAGTAAAAAAATGATATAAAAATTTACTCATTTTAAACTCTTGTGTATTCTTTTTACCTTTTACCTATACCCACAGGTAAACATTTTTATTAGTTCTAAGTTAATTCTCCTTATGTTACTTTTTGGAAAAATAAGCTTATGTGTGCATGTGCACAGTACACATACTCATTTTTCTTCATTTTCTTGGAAAAAAAAGAATACTACTTGGATATACCTCATTTCTTCTCACTGAAAAATGTAAATTGTCATTCATTCTTTATCAGTGATCTTCCTCATTTTTTTCAATTGCTGTATAATACTCCACATATAGATTTATCTTAATTTACTTATTATGTTTTATGGGTATTAAGTTGGTTTAAGTATTTTGCTACAAATTATAATAAGGCATATTTATTGTAACACCTGAAATGTTAGAAGTGTATGACATTTGGGGCTGGAATTGTGACTCAATGGTAGAGCATTGTCTAGCCTGTGTAAGGCACTGGGTTCGATCCTCAGCACCACATAAAAATAAGTAAATAAAGGTGTTGTTCATCTTCAACTAAAATAATAATAATAATAATAATAATAATAATAATAATAATAATAATAATAATAATAAATCTAAACAAAAAACAAAAGAAGTATATGACATTTAAAGTCAATAGTGAAACCCCAGGTTGCTCTTTTAATCCAGCAGATTGCAAATGCAAATATGAGAAGGGTATTTGATTTTCGAAGTTGAGTAAGATGCTAAAATATATAAGTATAAAAATATATTTACATTTTAACTCAGAATACATATAGTGATTAATATTTAAAAATATTTATAGAATATGTGGATACCTTGCACTACGAGTACACATGTAGATCTTTCTTATTATAATAGCTGCATCGTATTCCTACTTTCATTTAATGGTTGTATAAGTATGTAATTGATACAAGTTGTTCACTATCATTAGCTTTAATAAACAGACTGAGATAAGCATCCTTATATAGATATCTACGTACACATCTAAATCTGCCAAGTCAGTATGATTGCAAGTTCAAGGTCAGTGTCACCAACTTACTGAGAACCTGTTTCAAAATATAAATTAAGAGCTGGGGATGTAGGTCAGTGGCAAAGCATACCTGGGTTCAATCCACAATACCAAAATAAACAAACAAATAAACAGGTGTTGATATAGAATGGTAGATTAATATTTTGGTTGTCTTTTAAGTTAGTAGGAAATACCTTTAACTAAGATTTTTGGTATTAGAAAGTCTTTTAAATTATTTTATTGTAATCACAGAAAGTGTGTGTCAGTAGTTCAAGCTGGAGAGATTTAGGGGACATTTGAGTCTTGGGCACTTTCATTTAAGTCTTCAATTTAGACAGAACTTTAAGCCCTAGATATGCCACTTGATGGCTGTATTTCAGTTTCTTTCTGTGTGAAATAGTAGTGGTCATACCATGTCTATGGTTGCTAGGTAGGAAATCTAAAACAATGTCACACATTTAAAATTTTTTATAGACATACTTCATCTATGTCATGTGTAGAAAAGCAATATTTAATTTAAAACTTTGGATCTCTTGAAGAAGGTATAAAATTGTTGTGCTTTTTTTTTTTTTACTTGAATGGTTTAATCACAGCAATAATTCTCTGCTTTTCTTCAGGAAGATTCATTTTCTTTAAAGGAGCAGCTTCGTAAAGCAGAGGAACAGGTTCAGGCAACTCGACAAGAAGTTGTCTTTCTGGCTAAAGAACTTAGTGATGCAGTAAATGTGCGAGATAAAACAATGGCAGATCTACATACTGCACGCTTGGAAAATGAGAAAGTGAAGAAGCAGTTAGCTGATGCACTGGCAGAACTTAAACTAAATGCTGTGAAAAAAGATCAGGTAAAGCAAGTCAACTTTGAATTAATAACCATAAACTCATGAAAACAGTAAATTATAATAAAATAAGTCAGATCAGATTTCTGACCAGAGAATTTTAAGTTTCCATTTATTCTGTTTAGTTATTGTAACTTCTTGGGTTGAAATTAATGTGAGCGTCAAGAAAACCTTCTGTAAGCACAATTCCCTATGGTTAGTAAAAGTTGTTCTGTTATTAAATATTTTTGGAATTTCTTGTTTACTAGTTATATAAAATAGCTTATGGTACAGAGTTACAAAAAAATTGTCCTATGAATGAATAATTATGAATGTAATTCACTTCACTATTGTCATGTATTTAAGAAATAAAAAATAGCTTATGGTTACTTAAGAGAATAATAATTATTCCTCAGGAAGTAGATTATTTGTAGTTTTTAAATGAACCTTAGTCAAAACATATAAATCTAGATTTATTAGGAGAATTTTTGTGGCACTATAGCCTAAACACCAGAACAAATTAAAAAAAAAAACAAAACAGAAAGACATAAGTAAAAATGAAGTTGGATTTACTGTTACAAAATGAAGTATCAGGTTTTTATCTTAGTGGCAATATTTGTTTCCTAGGACAAAACTGATACATTGGAACATGAACTGAGAAGAGAAGTTGAAGATTTGAAACTCCGTCTCCAGATGGCTGCAGATCATTATAAAGAAAAATTTAAGGAATGTCAGAGGCTCCAAAAACAAATAAACAAACTTTCAGACCAATCAGTAAGTATCATTGAATTCATATGAAAGTGGTACCATAGTTGTCTTATACTCTGTGATATAGATAATATTTTCCTGGTCTTCCGATTGAAATCTGAAAGCAGAAAAAGGAGCAAGGAAATGCATGCAGTAAAATAGGAAGGCTTTGTGAAAAAAATTACAGTTTAAGTATCAAATGTATAGATAAATTTAAGTATCACATGTATAAATATTGATTCGTGGACTTTTGAACATATTTTGACTTTGTAGTAGAAGCTTGAGATTTCTGTGAATGATTAGTTTTGGTAAATTCACAAGAAAAAGCAATGTGTTTTTCTTTTGCAACATTTGGATTGTAGGCGATGTATATCTTTAGTATTTGTTTGGCTTTTAAAACAAGGATAGCTTTGTGGATGTATAGGATTTCTTTATTATTTACATATTTACTTAAAAAGTCTAACAAATTCAATGACTTGACTTAATAGTTTATTGTTAACATCCCGAATAGGCCAATAATAATGTGTTCACAAAGAAAGTTGGGAATCAGCAGAAAGTGAATGATGCTTCAATAAACACAGACCCAGCCACTTCTGTGTCTGCTGTAGATGTAAAGCTGCCACTATCTTCTGCAGGTAAAAATCTTTTAGATCTTTTTGTGTAGTGTCCTGCCTTAAAAAGTATTAATATGACCAGGCATGGTGGTATTGGAACATGTTTACTTAATAAGAGTTAGCAGGTGGTAATGAAGGACTGGAAGAATGACTTAAAAATGTATTCTTCAGAGTATATTCTTATTCTGTTACTCAGTTATCTAGAGAGAACAATTTTTGTGCCATTTTGGAATTACTTTTAGCAAATTATTAAAAAGAAAAAAAGAACGGTGCATTCGTTATTGAAAG